TTGACTTTAAAACTCCGTGGGAAAGCGTAGTACCTGCAAAATCTATGACATAATTCACATATTAGAAGGCAATAGATAGGCCTAAATAAAATGTTTTTAATTGTGTACCAGTTTAACGTTGAATATTATTTATGACTTGAACTTTATACACAAGTGCCAAAATACTATAAATAGACTATTTTATGTATGAATACCATAAACTAATGTGATACAGTGAAATTAATCGGACTTTTTTTTTTTATGCAAGTCTGTCAGTAACTAAGTTTTAACAAAAAATAAAACTATTTTCATTGTTTCGGTGAAATAGTGAAAAACATTAAGTAAAAATACATTATAGGAGCCAGTGGTTTGAATACTATATTCTTTAAAAAAAGAAATTTTTGTTCTTAACTTGCTATCCAAGATAATACTGTTTGCCAACACAAAAGGCTTTTTATCAATGTTACAAGTACTAGTTTGAGGTTTTAGCAAACTGAAAACTAAAACAGTTCAATTTCTTTATAAATTGAAACTAATATCTACAACCTAAAAAAAAGTTTCATGATTTACCATAAAATCAGTGTTGGTTGGAAAAAGTTACTAACAGTATGCTCTGAATATGTAGGTTTAGTTCTGATTTGCAGTTTACGGTGAATTCAACTCGAAATTCATAAAAAGGTCAATTACTATATGTTGCATATCTTATACCTGTACTTGTTTCTTGCCTAACTTACAATGACATAACTTCAATAAAACATAAGTGTGATCAATAATCTAGCAATCTTTTACTTTCTTCATCTCTATATACTCTTCACAAATACACTGATTTAAAAGCACTAAAGTTTTGATTTATCATTACCTTTATGCAAAAATATTCAGTATAAGAATACATTCAAAAATAGTAAAACCACTCATCTTTATCAGCAATTATCAACCCACACTACACATCAACTTGTTATACTTGCAAATGAAATACTCCTAAATGCTATACTGGAATGACTTTTTTTTATTAGGTAACCATTATATGATCAGATATTATATGAATAACAAGTATAAATCATTAAATGTAAGCCTATAACAACTGTGAATGTTGGAGGAACCTAGAAAACCACCTCCAGTTCTGCATCTAGTTGTTTGTTTGACTTACTGCAAACTTTTATTTAATCAACTTCAATTACATAATTGACAAAAAAATATACCGGAGATTCATTTATGGGAGAAAAGAAGGATATCTAAAGCTTGTTTTTAAAATATACTTTGTTAAGATATAGTAATAAACACAAACAACTAAAAAAATATTACTATGAAGCAAAATATACCAGTACCTCAACTATAATTGCACAAAAAGAAATTAAATCAGTTAAATGACAATATCTAACATTTCAATTTAATTTTTTTAAGCTCCCTAGAAAAAAAAATATCTAACTAGAAACATCAAAAGCTTTATTATTGGAGTTAATAAATAACAGCATATTATTTATTATTATTTCAAAACTATAGGTATAATGGTCTTTTATTATTTTAACAGATATTGCAACTTAAAGAAGTAAACTAAATAAATCTCTTACAGGTTAAAAATTCAGTTTTTCCAACTAATTTCTTTATGCAATGATGTATTCTTGTCAAACCTTATTCTGTAATATTTATAATTAACTTATTTAGAAACAAAAAATTATATCATATATATATATATGTGTGTGTGTGCATGTAAGAGAGAGAGAAAAAATAAGGTCTATTTTTGTTAGTATAATATATGAATTTAATACAGAATGCTAAGAAAACAAGCTTCAGGAGATAAATAATACTGTCAATCACACAAAGTTGACACAGCCTGTATAAAATCAGTGCCGATTTACAGGCTCTTCTTTTTTACCTCAAGTGATGTTTACTTAATTAACTGATATAATATTTTCTGAACATTTTCATACAAAGGTAGTTTAAATCAATTACATTACTTCAGAGATACCAACAGAAGACCAATATTAGCTTAAACAGTACTATCTGAACGTGAACCCAGACTATTACAAAACGCAATAGAGAAAACTAAAATTTAAGAAAAAAAAAAAATTAGAAAGTAGCCCCACTTAAAATTTCATAATTATACATATATAAATATATATACTTATAACATTATATATATTTTTTCAAGCCAGAAGCTGTCTCCTGTAGGTTTAACCTTTGGGTACTAATATAGAAGAAAGAAAATATTGTGTATCCTGAAGGAAAACAAATTACAATATTTCACAGTATATTTACTCTACTTTAACAAAATACAAGCTATGAACGGTTTGAAAATGGGAGGAAGTGAAAAAAAAACAACAACAAAAAACTATGCTTTTGTGAGGATATAATGGGGATTGTAAAACATAAGGTGAAAACCTGGTGACAACACCAAAATTACAAATACGTCAGTTCTCGACATTATCTTCTCATTACACCTTATACATCTCAACAGCACCCTCCACCCTGACTGGAACTAGGATATTGTCCACCAGATGGCAGGTTTGAACTTGTTGGAGAATGCTGAGGCCCAATCTTTATCCCGTTAGCCTGAAAAAAAAAGAAGAATTATTTCATCATAAATAACATAATAGCTCTATAAAATTATAATGGAAAATTCAAATTATTAACATCCTTATCACTAACATAGTTGGGCCGATGAGAGCACAAAGCAGTTGCCAAGTTGCAGATTCTCTTTTATTATCTTCTGATAGTTTATCTGTATTTATATTAGAATATAAAAAAAAAATACTGATTTCGCATGAACCATAGAAATTCCAAAGAATATCAAAGAAAAGAAATCTATATTAATATACAGAGTCTGAAATAATGGGCAACATTTGGCACATTATGGATCAAAGCTAAAATTTTAAGAATTTTGTTTTTTTCATCATTAAAATTCCATATGAAAACATTTGAATGATATCCTACACTAATTCAGCTTGTATATATGTATCTCGGTACATTTGTCCAGCTAACTCCTCTCACAGTTTTGAAAATAGTGGAACAAAACTTGGCACACCACATGTGTTTAAGGACCATGAGCACATGTCCTAAAGACTTTTTTTCAAGAACAAGTTCCCCTTAATATAGCTATATATGTAAGTGGGGATAATGAAAGAGTTTGATTGGTACATTGGAGCCTCGGTAAATCATGAGGTGGACTTTGAACCACACGGCGTATTTTATGCAAGTGTTTATCAATACTACATTAAATAAATGTTCATGGTTTGGTAATAAAATTAAGGTATAGGCAGTAGCGTGCAGAGGGGGGGGGGGAAGGGTTCCCGGGGCCCAAGGCATAAATATCGGGAGGGCATCCAACACAAAGAGTCGAATCGAATAGTAGAACCCTTACCGCCCTTCCCCAAGGTCTTAGGTACAAGGCCCCGAGCATCATAGAACCTCTACATGCTACTGGGTATAGGTCACATGATTATCTGTAGTTTAGTATGTAGAAAGCATAACTGAACAATTACCAGCCATAATAAGTTATTTTCTTCAATCAGCAAAGAATTTGTTGTTTTCAAAGATAATTTACAAATTTTTGGTGTCTTTTTAGATTATCACAATTTCATAGGTCTACTGTGAGAGGTTAATATCATCACTGCTTATATCATTGTGCATTTAACTCAACAAAATCACTAAACTTCACAATGAAGTTGGCTGTTGCATGCTCAAATATGTTATTGAAATTTCCAGCCTTAGCCCATTTCATCAAGACACAAAATAGTGTGTCGTGTGGCAAAAACAACCTGCAGGACACACTGTGTGCATTATTAACAGGAGTTATAGTTTAACAATTTTCAACTTTCTGTAGCTCGGACTGTGGTAATTCAAACTATCACATATTTTCAGTGAATGTGCTATACTGGACCCTTACTTCATATACCAAATTTCAAGGCAATCAATTAAGAAATACACAAGATATAAAATCTACAATTTTTATCGAATTTCTTCCTATTTTTTTCTTCGCACTGAAAGTACAGAAAATTTATTTGATAAAAAAACATACTTTTATGGATTTTTTTTCAAATTTGGTATACTGATAGAATTTTGGAAATAACAATTAGGTGTCAAATTTGGTCTAAATATAAGCCACATGTGAAAAGTTATTCAACAAAAATACCTCAATTTGAACAAAATGTTTCCGCATGAGTAAGCAAAAATTCACATGAACTATAGGTACAAAATAAAATTTTTAATACAGCTTCATCTAAGAATATAAGTGGACTGTTTTTAGTTTTTTGTCATTCGAATTATAAAATGCTGATTTAGAGCAGTAAAACTATAGGGTGAAATCACGTGCAGATACACAAGTATTAGCTAGGCCAAACAAACTAGATTAGTAGTTTCTAGCTCAAGTTTTCAAAAGAATGATATGGTTGGACAGTTTTTATTTATTATCCATTTGCAACTTTTAAGCACAAATTTGCTAACTTTATGAAATTCTCCTAATTATAGTGTGTTTAGCATCACATGATATTAGCTTAAGCAATTAGTGTAAATAATGATGCTTCATACAGCTGTATCAAGTGCATACGGGTGATGAAAAGAAACTGTTAATCTAGATTTCATTTAAATACAACAGTTCGATTTTCAATACCTCACTACTATAAAGTCTTGGTTTGGTCTGATATTTCATTGGTGGTAATGTCCAGGGTCACTGATGAGGAGTGGAATTCTCCAAAACTAGTCTGGCTCACAGACATACACCCCAATGAAAGAATAGACCATTCCAAGCTTTTACTTGTTGTTAAACAAATGTTTAAACAACTCTATTTATTCAATTATGTACAAACTGCCCAGTGTCGGCTAACAATACAAAGAATTAAATTGTGGCGAAATGCTACAAGTTCTTCAAATACCTATAAAATGATAGGTTTCTTTTTTGTGAGTGTAAAACACTTAAGTACATAAAGTTTTACTGAAAACAAACATTTCAAATGTATTTAGGAGGTTTTAGAAATTACATAAAATGAAATTTGAGATTTTTGAGATGAAGAAAAGTAGTTTTAATCTTAACATAAAAATCACTTTGTACGGGGACTATTCAAAACAAATGGTGTTGAAATACTCACGAAATTCACAAACAAATATTTTTTTAAGTTTATTAAAAATACTTCACTAAAAAAATATGATTTTTTGTTTGTGAAAGCCTTATAATGTTTCCTGAAAAACTGCTAAATTTCATGAAGATAAATACACACTATATTCAAAGTTTGTAGTATCAAATTTAAAAAGACTAAATGAGTACAAAGAGGCCACATGGTCAGTTAAATCAAACAAGCCCATATCGAGAGTTAATGGAGAAAACAGCAGTAATTTCAATTATAAAATGTTTAATACATTTTTGATCTAGATTATCACAATAACAGAACTATACTAAAATTATAAATTTTTATTGAATTTTATGTAAAAATCATTAACTTTATTCTTCAGTTTTAAATCTTGCTTAATTCTTTAATACATTATTCTACACTCAAAAAAGTATGTGCTTCTTTCAAATATTTACCTCATTATTTATATCAAAAACTCCCTCCTGTATCTTCTCATATATTTCTTTAGCAGTGTTGATGAAAGCCTAGTATTAAACAAGCAGAGAAAATAGTCATTTCACAGAAACACAATTCTAAAAACATTTAACTGAAAAATTATAATTCAGCTTTCAAGAATACAAAGTGTTCAACTTAAGGGTTGTTAAATTACAAAAAAATTTACTTAAAATAGGCTTTATTCAATTACCTTTATATAAAACATATTTGAAAATGTTACAGGTGATAAGTTAGACTTATTACGTCTTTATATTTAAGAAAAACATCCAATAACCTTTATAGAAATTTTAAGAACATGCATATCCCCTGAAAAGAGCAAGTACCGTATCATAATAGTATCATATTATTAAACGACTTAGCAAAAATGCCTGTTGCAATGAATAAGGAACACACACACGTAAATTTATGCAACATTAATTTTGGAATTTTTTGGTAAAACTAAATTTTCATGATGTCTATACTTCCACAAATCTTTAACAACTACTTTCATCAAATGAAAAAATCATCTGTAATACAAAAGGATTTCAGTCTTAACTCAATGCAGTGAAAAAGAAACAAACAGGAAATATATTTCATAAAAGTAGATGTTATTAACTCTAAAGCAATAATTATTGTAATGTAATACTATCTTCCATAGTTTTAAATGGGGTTAAATGACCATTTTCTCCCCCTGATACAGTGGTTATTGGGGAAAAACAATATACAAAGTAAACAAAATTTCCACAGCAAGTACATATATGAGCTCTATCTTCAGAAAACGTATTTTATTAGTCAATATATTTCTTAACAGATTCATGTACTGCAGGACTAAACATATATACCAAAAGCCATAAGGCAGAATACTATGTACAATATATATATATTCCAAAAGAAGATGTCATGTACATATTTACTAAACAAACTTCATCTGAGAATAAACTTCAGTTAGCATTTAAAACGATTAAGGATATAGAATCAAACAAAAATTATCATCCCCAAAGAGGACAATAAAAGAAAAATCGAATAAAAAATATTAGGTTGTCAAGAAATTAATGTAACTTTTCTTTTAGATGAAAAACCCAAACAACTTATATACATCAAAACAAAATATTTATTAAATGAAATAGTCTCTAATCTTATCGATGATGCTTTTCCATCTAACAATCAGGTTGTTAATACCCTGATTAAAGAAATAACTTGGC